TTATGAGAAACGTAATTTTTGCCAAGGGTAAATCGTTTTCTAATAATTTCTTAAGTGATTGCTTAATATATTTTTTTGCAAATATTACAAAATCAAAGAAGTTCAAAAATTCCCTAAATTATAGAAAATTTTCCTTTTTCCCTACTGATGACAGATTTTCCCCAGATTTAGGGAAATTTCCCTATCAATGGCAACACTGGGCGTGTGGCGCTCTTGGGCTCGTACGTGGAGTTCGAATACACGGCACAGGCCCGGACTCCAGCTGGAGCACAGGGGCGGCTCGCGCAGATTCTGCGCCCTTACAAATAAATAAAAATTATTTAAATTTCCCAGAATCAAAAAGCTGAAATGAAATTATTGCAATTTTTCAAAAAATTAAAAAAAAAATTAAAAAATAAAAAAAAATACAAAAACAAAAAAAAATAAAACAAAAACAAAAAAAAAATAAAATAAATTTACAAAAAATGTATTTTTAATACACCAATACAGTTTGGATAAGTGTCAGCGCGCTGCGCTCCTGAATGCCATGGCATGTGCACATGGGGGTCGAATGTATGGCACATGCCCGACCTACCACGGTATCCTCGAGCGCGCCATGCTGACACGAAACCAAACCAAGCGTCCGAAGATGCAAATTAAAGCATAAAAACAAAACGAGCTAACATATCCATGCATAATTGCTAATAATTTAGCACTACACAAAAATAAACCATAACAATTTTTTCAAAAAGTGATTTACATATTTTCCCTTTAAAAATTAAATACATAAACATCCCCTGAAGCACAGTCTCTAAGCCGTCAATTATTTTACCAAACAACCAAACCATATAGCCCCTTAATCGCTAGCTCGAAGGGAATGGCGAACTGTTCTGAAACTAGGAAAATACATTTGGAACAATCTGCATGGCATAACATCAGCCAGGCTGTGTTGCGACACTCTATCACGCATAGAGTGAAGCTGCACAGTCCAGTCAAAAAAATATCTAGAATGTGCTGGGCACCCCTGTTCTAGGAATCCTCCCATATATTATGAATTTTACCAAATGCATTGTAAATACTGTGATATTAACTATTAATAAACTTATATTGATTGATTGATTACTCAGTAATTAATAATGGCTATACTTAAGTTAAGTTCCTGGGTATAAGAGGCAATAAGGGTTGGGAATAATGCCCAAATTATATCAAGGAATATTCCCCTAACAATCCTTGAGTCTTCTGCAGGCAGATACATGGAATATTCTTTTTATGATACCTGGGTTAACCAAAAAGCGGACATTTGATTATGGCAGGAATATTCCTGGGAATATTCTGGGACGCTTGGAATATTCCTGGAAATATTCCTGACATGTGCAGGGAATGTGATTTTGCGTTCTATAGTAGGCAATCAAAATAAAAACTTAAACCACCTTTTTTAGTAGAGTAGACATACAGAGAGGCTAATTTTTATATACATAAATGGGTAACTTCTAAACGGTAATAGATTCAAACTTGAAAGTTGAAGCATTTTTCTTAAAATCGCTGTATTTCAAAAACTGATAACTTATTGTATTGTTAACTTTTGTTAGCTTGTTCAACATCCATCTAGAAAAAAAATATTCCTCCCATAAGGGAGTAATGATGGGAGGTTCCAAACTCTCGATTCACGACTGCTCACGACTACTCCCGATTCACGATTGTTCAAGATTTATGACCACTCACGACTGTAATAATTCAAGACTACTCACGTTTGAATAATTTTATTCACGCACAATCACGTTTTTTTGTCGTAATTATTTACGTAAATATTTATTCGTCCTTAATCGTTTGTTTCCACTTTGCACTAATAATCACAAATTAGATCTAACTACGCACGCATAACACGACGAATGTTGGCAAACAAAATAACAAAATTATAAATCCCCACTTTTTTCATTAATTTTAGACAGGACATTTTTTTAATGTAGCCGTCAAACGGTTCCGAAAAGCTAATTTTACCGCGGCGGTTTTTTTATTCACTAGCGGTAGCAATTGTAGGTAGGAAATTAAATAAGTTTTTGATCTGCTGCCGCGTGAACCCCTGGCAGTTCAAAAGAAAATGCCGCTGTTAAAAATTTATAAAAAAATATATGAAAAATCTGACTTAAATATTTTCTAGAAAGACTTAAATCTTTTTCAAAAAGACTTAAATCTTTTTTTGACTTAAATCGTTTCTATCTGACTTAAATGGTATGTACTGATTTAAGCCTTTTATTAATGACTTAAGTTTTTTTCTTTTTTGAAAAAAATATTTAAGTCAGAAATCATTTTGAAAATTACTTAAATTTTAAGTCTTAAGTCAGCTTTATAGAAATGACTTACAGCCAGTTCCATAATCAAATTAAAGCTTCCTTTAATTTTAAAAGTGGTCTTTAAGGTGGCAATGGTGTTTCATAATCGATTTTTAAAGGTAGCTTTAGGCAAAAGTCGACTTTAAGTCCCGAATTTGGTCAATTTTGTAACAAAAGTCAACTTTATATCGCAAACCTAACCATAAAAATTTTACGTTTTGGTAATTGCAAGACTTTTGGTTATAAAAATAGTGATACTTTGTATTTGGGTACGATAACGATGAATCTAAATCGTTTATTGGACACGAGTTCAAGCTCTGCATCAGAAAGCGAGGAAGAAAATGTAATGGTTTTGAGAAGGGAGAAAATATATGAGTACCTTAGATGCAAAACTCGGTTTTTGCAAATTAAAAAATAAAATAAAATTGGCTTTAAATTCTGTTTAGTGTTCGTCCTAGATAAATGGCGTTCATAAAACTTGATACATAATAATATTATATTATATATATTATTATGTATCAAGTTTTATAAACGCCATTTATCTAGGACAAACACCAAACAGAATTTAAAGCCAATTTTTTTTTTTTTTTAAATTTGCAAAAACCGAGTTTTGCATCTAAGGTACTCATATACCTAGTACACGACAACAGTATTTTCAAAAATATGACGATATTGAGTTTTTCTTCCTTTTAATTTTTTTCTCACTTATCTTTCGAAATAAAATACACAGATTATAAACTATAAAATATAAAACTGCATTCGCATGTGACAAAACTCGATAAATAATAGGTTATGTTACGTTGGCTGTTAAAAATAGTTCATATTAGGGATGCCGATTTTTAATCGATTATCAAAAAAATCGATTAATTTTTTTTAAAACATCGATTTTTTGATGCTCGATTTTTTTGCACATCGATTTTTTCGTTTTAAAATAATCGAAGTTTGATGTTTAATTTTTTTAAATTTCACTTTATATTTATATACACTATTAATCCTCCAAGATTTATATTTTACTATACCACTTCTAAAAAATATAATCTATAAGTTTTAGGTATATGCAAAATACAAACACAACGTCATCACGCGTTCTTTCAATGCTACATATGTAATCGTAGGGTACCCTTAATACATATTATGTATTACAGTTGTGTTGAAATAAAAATATAGTTTTTTTTTAAATTAAACATCGATTAATTGAAACATAGATTATTTGGGCAGCGGTTTATTTTGGAATCGATTTTTAGAGCTTCGATTTAAATCGATTCAAAAAATCGATCTTTTTGAAAAAAATCGGCATCCTTAGTTCATATAAACCAAAGATATGGTCCATATCTCTGAAATAAACGTATCAAGCTAACTTCACGTTTTGTATTTCAGTGTCGCCAATATAACAATATTTCAAAAATCCATCCTTTACCTAAAGAAGGATTTAATTTGCTTATGGAACCGACCGCACTTTAAGAACGATTTTAAAGCGACTTTAATATAAAGCTTACTTTTCGTAAAGGAACCTTTTGGCTATATTTATGGAACCGGCTGTTATAATCAAATGACTTAAGTCATTAAAACGATTTAAATCAAAGAAACGATTTAAGTTTTCTGAGAGCTTGCAGCTCTGCCTGTATGCACATTGTTATACAGACTTGCACTCCCAATACACACTTATTGCACACTTTTCATGCACGCTTTATTTAGTTAACGCAACACAAAAAAAAAATAAACAAACAGAACAGGTTAACACAACGCAATAACAATAATTTGAACTCTGAAAAGTAATTCGAACCTTACCGAACGCAAAAACAACAAGTTAAACAAAGAAATAGAGCAAGTTAACATCCAACAGCATCGCAAAAACAAGAATTTTAGCACCACATAATTAAAACGCACGTTAAAGATTTAAAAACACTCATCAAGTGGCGTATTTAAGCCCCGCCCAACATGCGCACCATCCTATCTTAAGGTGTATGTATCTTGGGTCTCATCAGTGTCGGGCATCTTGGTGTAGTGGAACTCACTCAAAACAAAGGACTCCCTGAGCTTATAGCTTATATGCTCGGTTGGTAAGCCAACAGAGGCGAGATGCAAGAACATCAGGTGATCCACACCATCTGTTTCCATTAAATTTGAATTAAATTTATGCTTGACATAATTATATTTAATTATTATTGTGTCAGACATAATTAAAATTATAAAGAATTATATATTCCCCAATTTAAAAAACCTACTTCAATTTTCTTTAACATTTAAAACATTTACGATTAAAAAGTAAAATGGCGTGCCATATTCCGAAAAAATTGGGAGGTGTGACAGCCTCCAACGCTACGTCCCTGCATGTGTCATTTATGACTGGCTTAAGCCTAAATTTAGTCCAGGTGGAAAGCAAGAAAATTATTAAGAAAATTGAAGGAATAAAAGAAATTTATGGTAGATTTTTTAGAATTGGTAAATCCGCTGATTTTTTTCTAATTAATATGTGATTAATTTTGTTAATAAATATTGGCTAAACTCTTTTGTTTTTTTTACAAATAAAAACTAAACATTAAAAAAATAAAATTATTATAATTAATTAATTAAAATGTTCCAATTTTTACATTAATTTTCAACTTTTTACTAAAACGTTTTAAAAAATCTGCACATTTTAATTAACATGGCTTTTGGTAGTACAAAATAATACAACTTAAACAATAAACATCCAAAAAAATTGTTTTTTTTAAGATGTCCATTTTTAATTGTTTGTATTTTGTTATTGACAAAAATATTTAAAATTACATGAAAAAAGAATAAATGTTGGTATTTATTTACAATATAAACTATGTTATTGAATTTTTATTATTTAAATGACACGTTTAAAATAATTATACAAATTAAGTAGCCTTTAAATGGATTTTTTGATGTTTAAACATAACATTGATAATTTTCGACGAAATAACGATAAAGGCCAAAAAAGCAAATGACGAATCTTAATTCCTATTTTTTTAGTAGTACAACCTAAACCTCTTCTCTTAATCTATTGGAACTACAACTAAGCAGCGTGAATGTTGTCCAAACGCTAAAACAAAGAAAAAGCGACTTAATTATTTATTTCGATTTGGCAACGTCGCACTAGTCTCATACCAGTGTCATTTTATGGAGCTCCCCAAGTTTTCAACCATTGGCCCATAATGTGGCATTGTGGATTGTGGCACAATCCAAAATGCCAATCATTGTGCATTGGCCAATAAATAACATACGAAAAACGACTTTTTTAAAATGTTGTAACAACATTAAAATTAAGTATTTTTTATAATATTGTACCTATATTCAAATAGGTTAAAACAAAATAAGTAATATTTTAAAAAATCTGGAAAATAAATATTATTTTGTTTTAACTTTTTCACATAATAAAACCAGTTTTATTTTAAAAGGTTATACATGATTTACGATTAGGCCACTTAATGAAATAATACATACATACTTGCTGGACGATTGAAATGACATACAAAAAACTTATTTTTTAAAATGTTGTGACAACATTAAAACTAAGTATTTTTTTTATAATATAATAAATAAGTTAAAACAAAATAAGTAATATTTTAAAAAATATGGAAAATAAATAATATTTTGTTTTAATTTTTTCACATAAAAAATAAGTTATATTTAAGGGGATTTAAAATTATTTACTATTAGGCCACTTGAAGTAATAATAGAGACAATTTAAAATAATAATAATACAGGGTGTTTCAGATTTTTATCTCATAACTGTAGAAAAGTATTAAAGGGAATGCAAAAAGTTTATATAAACATAGTTCGTCAAACGCTTAGTTTTCGAGATACAGTGTTCAAATTAATTCATTTAACCCTTATGTGACTGAGAAAAAAATACCTTCCTATAACGGGGTGGGTACCTGGGTACCCAGATTATATTAATTTGGATATTATACGTAAAATATCTTGGCTTTTGATGTTTCTTTAATTGTTTATTGCCGCAGTAGTGCGAAATTTCTAACAATTCTTTAGCCCAAGCACGGTTTGTGGTAGAGTTGTTTTGTCTTTTTTTCTTAATTTCCAAAATTAAGTATTGCATTTATTTATTAGTTAAACAAATGACAAGCGCAATTATTCTGTTATATCTAATGTGTAAATTTACAAATCCAATAGAGTTTGATTAGTATGCTGTTTTTAGTAAACTTTTTACTATGTTTAAGTTTTCATGATTTATTGAGTTTATATTCTGTGTCAAATGTTTATAATTGGTCTCGTTTGGGTAAAAATTAACGTTCTTTAAGTTACTGGGTTTCATGCCTTACGCATTTGTTGTTGACAGATTTATTGTCTTACTCAGCTTAGGTGCATCACCGCGATAGTTCGATTGGGAAGTTTTGTTTTTTGTTGTTTGTTTTTTTCTTTATTACTTTATGATGTTTGGTTAGAATTGTCTTTCTAATGTTTCTATTGTTACTGATGTTAATTGTTTTTTTCTAGAGTTTAAGCAGTGTGCTTTTCTTAGGGTTAAAGGTATTTGTCGTGTTTAATTTTGCAAATTATGTGTTATGCTTGAGGATACTTATCAATTTTTGCGGATGGCCACTTCCCCTCTTTTGTTTGTCTGGTGAAAAGCGTCCAATGACAAGTGGTGGGACGAAGCTGAAACTGTGCACTTTTGAGAAATTATTGTTGGTTTTAAGAGCTCTCGGTCGAAAAAACTTTGAACATTATTTATTTAAAAAAAGCGTACAAATGTATTTCAAATTATAATATTGTGTAGAAAATACCTACATAGTTTAGAAATTTCACGAAATCGCAAACCTCCTCGATTTTAAACAAAAAAGATATTCATATCTAAAAGCTGAATGGATACCGTCACATAAGGGTTAAGGGGGGGGGTAATTTCAAAAGGATCGGTGCAGTAGTTTGAAAACGTGAGTTGTGGGAAAAACGCTTTAAAGTTTTAAACACTATTTCTGTACATCATTTACGAGGTTACGCTCTAGAGTTTTTTTTTGTTCATAATTTTGATTTCGCAATAACAAATTAGCCGATTTTTTCCCACAAAATTGTGTTTTTCACTTCAAAATGAAAAAAATTGGAAAAAAAACTCGACAGCGTTACCTTGGGAAAACTATTATCTAACGAATGAACTTTGATTTTTTGATTTCAGATGATCCAGCACCAAGTTATGAGGGGCACCGCAATTCAACTTTTTTTCGAGACACTTCTGAACAATTGCTGCCATTGCCGTATTTTTTAATATTTCTTTGTACACATTTGATGAAACACTCTTCGAATGTCATACTTCAATGTACCATTGGTTGAGTAAAGAAATTTTAACTGCGTCGTCAGAAAAAAAATCACGAAAACATGGCTTTTTTCGTATGATTTGACCTTACCCCCCCTTAAAGACTCTGGGGAGAACTTACCTCGAGGAGGCCTTGCGCGAGCCGTTCGAGTTGCGCCAATTGTTCGAGGTGCGGTTCGCGCGGCAGCTCGCGCGAGCGATTTTTGTAATATTCCTTCGCGTCGATGGTCGGGTCGATTTTTAGTTTGCTCGCGTCCACGCTGCTTTTCGCCTCTTGGCCGGCCTTGACGACGTTTTGCTCGTTGACGGCGTTTGTGTCGCTGTACAATGGGCACCTGTTAAGAGATACTCGTATTACAGTTTTACCAACCAGTGCACAGTGCGTTAAATTAATTATCTAGCTAGACAAAACCTAATTTTAAAACAACCTGAAATTAAGACAAATTTAATTAAATAAGCTTCTTCAGTTCTCCCTGTTATGATTTCCATTACTTAGAACGTACTGTAACAGTGTATTCAGCACTATGAAGGTGCCAGTTCCGGGCGTATCCTTTTTTATAAATATACTTAGCCGTGTATGTGTTGCAGAAAGGTGGAGTGATTTTGACATTGTTTCAAGTTAAAGCAAATTTTGAACTTTGCCGCTATGAATCTAGGTATATATTACTTATTTTTCATAATTAGGGATTTATAATATCAGTAATCAGCAACAGGCTATAGATATAGAAATTCACTTGGTGTTGTTAAATATGGACAATTGTTAATATTTATTAAGCAAGAAGTATTGTAATCGAACAATATCGGGTGCACTATCAATATTTGTTTTGTTTTATAACGTCTACAGATTACTTATGTGCCTTTATTTATTGCCCCAATTTGCCTCTTCTACAGGGTGTAACCAAAAACCGGCTCACTCCTTTTTTACTATTAAATTTTGGAATAAAGTTGAAATTTGGGAGCAATAATAAAGAGTTAATTTATAATTATTTCAACCTTCAATGGATACCACAAAACTTCCGGTTTCCCCGGAAATAATGCCAACTTTCGTTTTTTCAATGAAACCCTATGCATATCTTTGCATATTTCAAATCAGGAGAAAATTTTGAATTCGATACTTACACTTTCGCGGGAATTTTATAATGATCTTAATTTTTTTTGTAATTTAAGTTTTCCATAAGTTTAATTTTCGTGGAAAACACTAACCGAATTTTTATGACATTGCTTGGTTTTGATTGGGGAAAACATATGTATTTAAAAAAACATTAGCAGCCACTCTGATGGTATTTAAAAAGTTGAGTTAATTAAAAAAACAATTTATCAGCAACATTTACTATTTATGCATTTTACTGCAAATTTGGATGGTAAAACTAATTGATTCTCCAAATTGCAGCTTTCTGGATTGAAAACTAAAACTGGACAAAAATTCAAGGTCAATTGCAAAATGGTAGCGAATGTGCATTTATCGGATTCAAAATTTTCTCCAGATTTCAAATATACAAAAATATACAGGGCGTTTCTTTGGAAAAACAAAAGTTGACCAATTTTCGACGAAGCCGAAAGTTTATTTTTATTACAAGGCGCCGGCCATTTTGTAATTAACGAATTTAATTTCTGCATTTTGGATGTCAGATTTGGATTCAGTGAACCCAAATACCCCGCTTCCAAAGAAAATTTATAATTTTTTATGTCATTTAGGTTTTGTCTAGCTAGATAATCAATTTAACACACTGTGCAGTGTGGACATTTTTCTCGAAAAAAACTGAGAAAAAGTCTTTGGCCATTGTAAAATAAAAAACAACCAACTGGGAAAAATAATATTTCTACAATGTTACTAAACGTTACATTTGTTAGATGTAATGTTACAAAACTCCTTGTGGCAATGTTGCAGGAACATTGCAACAAAGCCTTATGTCCGGCTCAGAAACATTACATTTACAAATAAAATGTTGCTTACATGTATTAATTGCAATGTTACTAAATGTTATTTTTGTTAATGTAAGGTACCTGCAACATTACATTTGTTAGGTGTAATGTTACAAAAATCCTTGTGGCAATGTTGCAGGAACATTGCAACAAAGCCTTATGGTTCAGTAACATTACATTTACACATAAAATGTTGCTTAAATGTATTAATTGCAATGTTACTAAATGTTATTTTTGTTAATGTTCCTGCAACATTACAGGAACATTGCAATTAATTTAATATGAATTATTATAATAATAATAAATAATAATTATTTATCCGTAAGCTATAGGCATATTATATATATATATATATATATATATATATATATATATATATATATATATATATCTATCCGGTCCACGTTTTCAGTCCCGGTACACTATACAGGCTACCTAAGACCCACTTGATCCAGGTAATTTAGGCGAGTATATAAACCGTAAATAAGCTTTTAAAGAATATAACTCAATAAGCATGCTTCAAGGGGAAACATTTTCTTTTTACAAAAAAAGTTGCATACTGAATAACACTTTTTAAACCCGCATCATTTTACCGACTTTTCGCGCCCGTTTATACTGCATAACCATATTCAACCAACGTCCCGAGACCCAGCGATGTTGCCAAATGGTAGGGATTCGTGGCGTAGGTCGAAAGTACGTAAAAATAATATACTATTCCGGGATTCTCCTCATTGACTGTAAATAGGGGAGATAGCAGAATTGGCGAAATTGTTTGTGTGGTGTGAAAATATCGGCAGGAAGCAAATTAATTGCTCGAATGGCAATACTAGGGAAAAATCAAAATACAGGTAAGGAGGCATGTTTGGTTAGGTTAGTTTTTTTATTTACTATTATTTCTTTTAAAGCAAAGTTAATTATTAGGTATCCCCATCAGTGGCGTAGCTAGCCTCAAGGGGGCCTCGTATCAAAAATCTGGTAGGGGCCCTTATACCGGAAAATGTGCTGGCAAAAAATTTTTTAGGGTATCATTTTTTTGCATTTACCAATTTTTATAATTCAATAAATAATATATGTGGGTAAATCTCACGAAATGTCCCCTGATGAGTTTGACCTACAATTTTATTGTGTTTTGATATTTCATAATTAAGTAGATATTACATACAGCTCAGGTTCCAGATTTTTAACCGCAATGAATTATTTTTTACAATGTTTTAAAAGTCTAAAACATATCCTCCGTGACTGTTACTCTTTCTAGGTTAACCTATATGTTTTCAAATATCTGAGGTAGTAAAAGCATACTAAAAATATCAGTTCACTAAGTAAATTAAACACATCCAAAGCAATCGAATCGAATATAAAATATCATTAAAAATTAAAAGAAATAATTTTTATAACCATTTATGTAGGTGTTACAAAAATTGATTCTATCCTCCGTGAATCTGTTTTTGTTTTAATTTTTTTGCAACGGATGGCGCTTTAATCATTTTAAATAAGCAAAAACCTCTATTTACGACATTATAGTCTATAATTTATAGATGCATGTGATTCCTGAGGTCAGTTAGAATTTATATGCAGATGAGAGTGTTGCTGTTTATTAATTCAAAAGTTTAAGTTTATTAATTTGCTATTTAAAAACCTATCCACCGTGAAGTGTAATATCTCAGTAAGTAGATTTTTTTATAAATATTTTATGTATGTACAATTGTATTTTAAAAAAATATACAATAACTTATTTTAAATATACATTGTATATATATTATACAAAGGTAAAAAAAACATACGAAATCCTAACCTCCGTGAAGATATCTTCCGTGAAGATATCTTCCGTGAAGCTCTAATATTCAAAATGTATAGTGCAGAACCACTTATGTTATGTTATTACTAGACCTGGTGGCTTGCCAAAAACTCCATTCTAGACTAACATTGAAACAACCAAAAATAAAAAATAATCATTTTCACTTGGGGGACATCTCAATATATTCACACATGTATACATAGCTTTTTATGTACAGGCAAATTTTAAAATTTGATCTGGTTTTAGACATTTACCGTTCTTCAACATCTTTTAAAAGGTTTCTATTTTAAAATAAAGGAAAGTCATTTGAAACAATTGTAACGCTAATAATTATTTCTAATTTGCTATTAATTTAACCTATGATAATAACACCCTGCGCCGTAGACAACGCATAGCGGAAAGGTGCGGGCAGAAACATTTTGTATGAGTTAACGGCCTCGTTGGAACAGGAGGGTATTCAGGAAAATTTTAATTTAATAAATCGAAGAATAAACGATTTAATAAAAATATTATTTATTTATTTAATTTGATGCCTCAATTTTTTTAACATGTGCGTAATATATTTTTTGCTTACGCATGTCGAAGCCAATCGGGCCCCCCCCCTATCCGGGGGCCCCGTATCATTGATACGACTGATACCGCGGAAGCTACGCCCCTGATCCCCAACCAAAGAAACGCAGAAAATCCTGTAGACGAATATAGTTTCGAGAGCAAAGAAAATTTAAGTATTTCCTTTAAAAAATTTAACTTTATTTATTTTGCGTACTTCATCAAATTATTTTTTCTTCTTCCCTTAAAATTTTGGCTTATTAGTTTTTAAAATCGGTTGGTTTGCACAAATTATTACTTTAATTAAGTATGATTTAAAAGTACGTGATTTTATAAAATGATTCTTGTGAATATATAATGGTGTATAATTAATAAATTAAAAAATTAAGTTTTTCTCAAATAACGTACCAAGTTGTAGTTTTAGTATTAGTTTTAAAATGGGTTGGTACTACCAACCCATTTTAAAACTAATACGGGTATCGTATAATTTTAAGGCCATTTTAAATGCCTTTGTTTGTTTGTTTGTTTTCAAGATATTACAGAAAATTTTTCTTTTTTAATTTATGTTTGTCTTAAATATCTCAGGAACAAACTAACCGATTTTAAAAACTAATACGCCAAAATGTAGAAATTTAAAATGCCTTTATAAATGTATAAATTTAAAATGACGATTTTTAATTTAAAGTGAAGAAGAAAACCGGGGTTGAAATTTTTTGGTTAATTTAATTTGGAAAATATTAAAAATTTCATTTTCACTAATCAGCATTCAAATTGAAGTATTTTAGTATTTTTATTTAGTAGTTCTGAGATACAGTAACCGCGGTTAATATTAAATATTAAAAAAATATAAATTTTAAATTTTGGTATGCTAAAGCAAATAATTTGTTTATTTAATTTTAATTATTATACCGGGTGATTTTCTTTATACGCTGCTGGTTAAATTTAATAATAAAATAAGGTAAGATAAGAAGGTAGGTTCTAAAAACACATGTAAATATTCAATTAATCAAATTTGGCAATATGTATTGATTATAATACAACAATTAGAAAGCTTATGATAATAATAATAATAATAATGATAATAACGATATATATATTATAATAATGCTAATAATGATAATAATCATAATAAATAAATAAACGGAAATGAAAATTGATATTAAAAATACTTACCATTAAAATTATCAACTACATGTTCCACAGACAGTGTAAGGTTCTTTATAATCTTGAGATATTTCGCAAATCTTTTTATTTATATTTTGTATAATACAATAAATATTACTATACGTAAATCACATCCATACAACCATATTAAAAATTACCTACCTACTAATATTTTTACAGTAATATTTACCAAAAATGTATACTAAAAAAATAATATATTGTGTTAAATATTTAACATTTAAATTTTACTGACGAATATTTAACAGTATAACCCTCAAAATTTGATAAAGTAGATTTTACTTTTTTTTTACTATCTGAAGCTTACTTATCTCCGTTCAGGAAGGAAAGTGTGATTTTGGACCAAATGGTAAAGAGCATATCGGGACTGTATCAGAGCTGTGAAATACATATTCATTATTTATATACCAAACGGCGTTGCCAAATTTAGGGTTTGAAGACGTAGTTTAACTATGCCAAATATATACAGCTAGCTGAGCCCGACCGAGGCGCCCTCGAACTGGCTGAACCGTGAACTAAATCTGTATATTTCATCATGTTTCACCGCCTTTTCAAGCCCACCTAAAAATTTACCCCCTGCACCCACCAACCCCCCTGATTTCCATACTATGATTAACTTTTTCAGTCCCGAAGCCGGGTCTGAAAACGTCAATTTTGGTCTGTATAGGCGGCGAAGTATGACGATTTGGGTCTGTATGTGCGGTCAAACAAATCTATATATATATATATATATATATATATATATATATATATATATATATATATATCAGAAACAATAGGTTTTCTACTTTACGCCAGTAGTAGGCAACCAATATTGAAAGACTGAAATATGCCTTCCCATCTCGCCACCGAGCCGAGCTCGAAGCGCGTCTCCCGAATGGTATGGTCCAATGACTAATGCACCATACCCACCAACACTGACACTGACAGACCACGGCTCCCCGGAAAGGGGGGACTACCACAAAGTTTGGTCACTGAAAATTTTTCGACGGGGTTTCGTTCGTTATTGTATTCTGAGACGGAAACACCGAAAAGTAAATCGAAGCAACTCCTTTTTTTAATTTTACGAGAAAAATGCATTTTTGCCCTATATTTATTTATTAAAAAAATACTCGGGTACAGAATTATATATTAATCATTTATTTATTTATTTAAAACATACATAATACGTCTATTATACTAAACATAATACTATTTTAATAATAATATGGGATACAATCCTATACTTATAATTCAAAATTCATTTTTCAATAGTGCGAATACATTTTATAAAAATTAACAACTTGATTTTTTATCAAAAGGAATACTTAAATTATAAACATTTTATTAAGATAATAATTTCTTCGTCGGCTGAAGGGCCTTTGAACTTGGTTTTAGTTCAATAAAGCATTATTATTATTAATTTTTCCACATTGACTTTAAATATGTGTATTATTATTATCAAACTCATTATCTCTCAGACACTTTAAAAAAGCCCATACTTTTAGAAAATCATAATGAACTGACTCAAAAGCCTGCTCGCTGTAAAATCCGAGACTTTTTTTATGTTTTGCGCAAAAATCTTTTACGTGATAAAATGTTGCATGTACTTTTGGTGTTACAGGTAAGTTCAATTTTAAGTAACAAGTTTTAAAAGGATTTATACTATCTTCGAAACTTTCTGCAAGTTCATTTCCAAAACAGTTCTTTACATCTTTTTCAAAATTTTGTAAAACTTTAGCCTATTTGACACAATTTTTGTGTTTCACATTGATTGATTGATTTGAAGGGGAGCCTTTGCAGGCAGCACTTAGGCACACATACGGCCCATTATGCAAACCCCCTTTTGGTGAAGCCCTGCCTTACCTTACGAGCCCGCAGCTTTTAAGAAAAGCGCAGACCCGCTCTGGTCGGGCATGCATTATTTCCCCCCTAGGTGTCTTAGTCTACTATTGACTAGAGCGCCGCATTCGGTAGTTTCGTCTACTTCGCTTCAGTACCTACAGTCCGACTCGTTGCTGAGTCCGGTTTTGTGTAGGTGGTATTTGTCTACCCAGTGTCCTGTTAGGACTCCTGTGATGGTTCTTAACTGGTTCCTATTAAGTTTCAGGAATCTTTTTGCCTCTTTGCATGTAGTAGGACTCTTTATAAAGACCCTAGACTGCCTGAGGCCTTGTTGTTCACGCCATTTGTTCTGGAACTGGTCGTTAGTCCAGTTCCTAAACTTGGTTTTTACCAGACAGGAGGCGACCCCTATGACAGGTTCTGGCCCCAAGAAGGCCGTGTTGCTGCCCTCACGAGCCAGCTGGTCTGCTTCCTCGTTGCCTCTGATGCCTCGATGACGCGGTACCCAGATAAGGTTAACCTTGTTGAGCACACTGAGTAGTTCGAGGGTTTTTATGCAGTCCAGTATAAGTCTCGAGTTGACCTTTTCCGAGTGAAGAGCCCGGAGTGCTGCTTGACTGTCGCTGCATATGTAGATATGTTTACCCGAGTAGCCTCTCTGGAGATTCTCTTGGGCGCATATCTGGATGGCAAAGATTTCGGTCTAGTATACCGTTGGGTATCGACCTAGTGCAAGGCTTATTCTCGCCCCAGGTCGCTCTCCATATACACCAGCTCCTGCAACTTCCTTCATTAAAGTGTTCACATCACTAACCGAAGCAGTGCTTTCGAATTTTTCGATTATTCTTTTCACAGATGAATAGATGAATTAGGAATATTATTTCGAAAAAATAGTGGACGCCCTTTACGAATCGTGGCAATCAAACTTTCATCATTTTGATAATAGTGTTTAACAATCAGGACGGGTTGTTCTATCGTGTAATGCTCCATATTTACTAACTCCCATCTGTCTCCTATCAATCTGTCATGTCATTAATCATGTGACATTATGGTTGCCAAACTTAGGCGAAATTCAAATCTTGCGCTCTTATTGATACACCCTTTACAAATATTGTTGCAATTAAATATACAATAGGTTGTCAATAGATACCAATTTTGCTAAAAAATTGACATGTTCTGCATTAAATGGTATATAGGCTTCTATATAAACATCGTAACTTGCCTAAATACTATATAACGTAAATAGCAAATATATTTAAACAAGGTAATTAGGCGATTTAACAAAACACGTATATAAAAATGAAGCTAAAAAAAGCAAAAATGCATTTTTCTTGTAAAATTAAAAAAAGGAGTTGCTTCGATTTACTTTTCTGTGTTTTCCGTCTCAGAATTCAATAACGAACGAAACCCCGTCGAAAAATTTTCAGTGACCAAACTTTGTGGTAGTCCCCCCTTTCCGGGGAGCCGTGAGACGGACTGTTTCGACCTGTTTGGTCTCATCAGTGTCAGGCAGTCGGTGATGGAATACACGCATCAAGCTCGATACTGTTCACTTATGAAGATATAAATGACCAAGACAGCGGCGAGATGCATCGGCAAGTCAGTCTGCAAACAACATTGCAAAAATTATCTTAATGCAATATTTTGGACGAAACATAGTCCAAAACTAAAGTTATAATTATAAATGTAATATTATAGTAACAATGTTGCAAATTAAATGTTTATATTGTTTATAGAAAGCAACATTTCAAAAATCGCCTTAATGTAATATTTAGGATGAAACATTGCCCAAAACTTATCAATATAATATTATAATTGCAATGTTTCAAAAATTTTGCAAATTAAATGTTTATATTGTTTATATAAAGTATAATTGCAAAAATTATATTAATGTATTATTTCGGATTAAACATTGCCAAAAACTCAATATCAATATAATATTATAATTGCAATGTTCTTCTTTAGTAACAATGTTCCAAAAATCAAGCAAATTAAATGTTTATATTGTTTATATAAAGTAACATTGCAAAAATTATCTTAATGTAATATTTCGGATGAAACATTGCACAAAACTTATCAATGTAATATTATAATTGCAATGTTTCAAAAATATTCCCAAACATTCCAAAATAAATGTTTCTATTTTCTATTCTATTGTAAAGTTGCAAACATTTTTCATTTGAAACTTGTGTTAATATTTCAATTATATACTAAATGTTACAAATATGACATTGTAAAAACTTTCCATGTGAATCTTTAAATAATGTTTCAAATTTAAGGTTGTTGGAAATTATTATATGCAATATTTCAAATGAAACATTTCATTTATGTTAATGCAAGTAGCACAGGAAATATTTTATTTGTAAAGTCGGCGAACATTGCATCAATATTTTGTAAGGTTTCTTTCCCAGTGGGAAAATAAAAATTTATTTATAAACATTGTTTCTGTGTTGTTTAAGCCAAGTTTATTGTAGTTCATCCCAATCAGAGCTGTTCCGAGTACAAGAAAAATGTACTCGAGTAAAAGTACTTTGAAAAAAATGAAATGGGGCACATTAATTTTATTAAATAGGTACTTACAGATGGTACTTATCTCCTCCAATGCCGTTAAAGTGGCTGTAATCGATTACAGGCTTGCCACAAATGTAACACATGAGTGCTCCACAATGGCAAGTCATTTTATTGCAGCCTTCTTCTTTGAAAAAGCGTGCTTTGCACTTCCAACACTCCCTAGAAAAAAATAGAGAAACAAATCTATACTGGGTGTTATGTAATTAATGTTATATATTAAAATGGGTTGTTCCTTAGGGTCCATAAAGAAGCACCTGAAACTTTTTTTTTCTAAATTTCAAAGTCTAAAAATAATTTATAATAACCTTTATCCTACCAAAAAGTACGCCACTGATCGACTAGGAACTTTAGGTTAATCTGGTGGATTTATTATGTTATGGTTGGTAACAACAGTACTTCCAAAATTTTTCAAAAAAGTTGACAAACATTGTTAAAATTTAGCTTAATTACAAAAATGACAAAATTAACAATGCAAATTGTCAATTTGGCGTTTTTATTCATTGTTGGTTATTTCATTTTTGTACTGAAGGTAAATTCAAACAAAATCTTTTATGACAGAATCTAGTGCATTTCTTTTAAATTTTAGGTTATGTTTTCAAATTGTAAATATCTTAACTAAGGGAAGTGCTTTTGGATTTATTTACACAAATTAAATGTTTAAAGTTTAACCTGTAAACTGGTCCCAATTTCATCTGAGTAAACAGAGAAAAAAACTGATGAAAAAATTAATTTTGTGGTTATGGATTTCAAATTTCAAAGGTACTAAATTTTCTAATCATTGCTTAAGCTGGATCAGTAAATAAATACAGAAGGGTATTAGAGCTTTAAAGGCATAAAACTTTTGTATTTATTGAGTTTTTATTTATTTTTTGCAAGAAAAATTTTTGGTAACAATTTTTTACATCTGGCAACGCATACCTACTTTGTTGGTTGGTATCTATGTACTCACAAAATACAGGTGTGCAGAGATAAACAGTAACCAGTAACCAGTGGCGTATCACAAAAAATATAAAAAACTTCTAATGCATATTTTTTCTTTATCTTTGGAAAAATGCTTTTTAAAATATTTTTCCTTTATTCCTTATGTCAAAAGGTATTCAGTATTTTAATATATAACATTAATTACATAACACCCTGTTAGTAGTTAAATTGTACTACATCGTTAAATTAACCTTAAATTAACGTTATTTTGTATTAAGTGGGGAATTCCATTATAGTAAAATTAACGTTATGTTAATTAAATTTAAATTTTTGTTTAATGTACCTTTTGGTTTATTTGGTATGGTTTATTTGGTATTTTTTACTACTTTTTAACTCTGAAGTCATCTTGAACTATAATTAATCGGTTTAAGTTTATTTTAAATATGGATATGACTTACAAATCATTAAAATAAAATGTCGCTCCTGAATATTAATACTTATATATGTCAGTGGCGGCTCGTGACCATTCATGAAGGTGAGGCCCATGAACCGCTATATGGTAAATCCCGGGATCCCGAAATCCCGGGGTTCCGGGATCCCGTAAAAAATCCGATCCCGAAAATTCCGGGATCAAAAGTCCTAATCCCGGGATCTTAGTAATAAATTACAAAGAATAAAATATAATGTTTTTTCAAGGGTATGACAATTTTCATATTATAATACGCAGTCCAAAAGTCAAATTATTATACACCGCCGTAAAATAATGAAAATATATTGGTTCTATCTATAGGTATATCGCGTTTAGCATCAAATCAGCAAAAAAATGTAAAATTACAGGTCACTGTAGAATAAATTCATATACATAACCTATAATATAACATATTTTAAACGTGAAACCTAAAAAATGTCACAAACTCGATAATTTCAATGTAAGTTAGAGCCCCAATTGGAACTCACCAAGGCCCGATTGAAAAAAGAAATAAAATTATTTGTTAATGGCGGTAAAAGTGGGTACAATGTGCCAACGAATTCTTGAAAACCATTCCTTCAACTAGTGTAAAGTCCCAAAGATATCGTTCGTTGGTTGGTTTGTTCCTTTATTTTAAATTTGATTTAAAATTAACGATATATATTTTTTCGGGACTGATCCCGGGATTCCTTTGGCCCCGAAAGTCCCGGGATTGGAAAAAGGGTGTGGGATTGATACATCCAGTCCTAAGCGTTTTTAAAGGTTAAAATTAGAAGTTAATATAACGTTATGTAACTTCTAAAATAACCTACTTTTTAACTTAAAGTAATATTAGTAACTAGTTAAATATTTGGTTTATTTATAGTCAAACACTTGAAATAAACTTAATTTACTTAAGGTAAACCGGTTGTAAATGTAAAGGGTTATTTTTTAGTTTACAGTAACCTTAAAAAATGATAAGAGCTTTTTACTTAGATTTTGGTTAATTTACTTAGAATGCTAGTTATTTAACCATTTGTGCTACTTGGGTAGTTAAGGTTTTTGTAGGAAATATATCCCGTATGGTCTAGGGTACTATGCTCCACACCTCAAAGTCCCACCACGTAACCACGTAAGGAACGCAGTCTTTTGAAAATTTGGCATTTAAGGCTTTTTAGGTTATGTATCTGTCAAAGTATAGTCAACGAAAGAAATAATATTATGTTTAGGCGTTAAAAATGTATAAATGTTTATAACATTAGAATAACAATGGATGATTTAAGAATTTAAGAATATAAATACTGCATTTAATGAAATTCTAAAGTGTATGGTGCCAAATAGGTAATATTTTTGTGCATTTGGTCCAAATATTTGGTTTTCTCCATAAAATAATTTTAACTAAACAGCATTTATTTAAAAAAAATCTAGCTTCTCTATTATGGAATAAGAATATCTGTATTAAAGGTAGGTTAATATATTATAACAAAAATTTCATCTAATTTTGTAATTTTAAGGTTAAAAAAATTTATTTTGACCAAAATAAATAAGTATTTTGGATTATTTAAAAGACTGTATAATATGGTATTTAAAAATGTGGTAGTTTTTCTTATGCAGCTTAAAGTGTACCTACATAAAGTTTTGTCAATACAAATAGTTAAAAAGCTTCGACTGAATTTGATCCACATCAAAAAATCATTATTAAATTTTTTAATAAATCACATGTCATGGGAGTATTAAATATTTTCACCTAGCAAGTTTCTCTAAAAATTGTTTGTTTTCTTATAATCTAACTTAAAGTAAGTATGCCAAGGGGTATGCACAAGTTTTGTCGTTAGAAGTATAAAAGCTTCAATTTAATTTGAACTATATTCAACAATTATTTAGTAGGGGAGAGTGGGTAGACATTGGACAATTTTTAGATTTTTTTGCCTGGGTCTCTTAAAAATGTAAGTATTTCTAATTTCAAAGTTTCAGGTAATAGTATTGACTTCTGAAAACGCAAAGAGATAAATATAGCACTTTAAACAGTATAAATTTAGGAATTTTATTGAAAAAATCAGGGCAAAACTTATACAATACTAAATTGCGACAAATCAAAATTAAAGTAAATCATGTTATGGAATCGAACTTAGTCAGTGGGTGGGAAGAACCAATACCACGTCCTTAAAATCCACCAAGGCTTCATCTTCATCTGTTTCTTTAAATCTGTATGATGGAAACTGCCTTTTAAGGAATTTGACTGTATATCCTCGGTTTAATTTTTGCAATATTCTGCTAACGAAGTGCCGGGACGATCTTTGGACAATAGAGGAAGACTCTAGACAGTGTGTACAAACTCTCCCTACATGATGTGGAATAAAAAAAATGTTTATAATTTCAAAATATAGCAACGGAATAAACTAAGGATATAACAGAAGTTCCATGCTTTATACATGCTTTAATATGTAGTAACTCTAAAATATTTATCTACAACGGTCTGGACAGAAAAGCTTACAAGGGGAAAGTAAAATATTACATTTCACTCCCACTATTTGATACCCTACCAACTTGACGATCTGTAATAGTAGAACCAGCCTGAAATACTGGAACCGCGAAATTTGTCCATTGTCCATTGTCTCCCAGTGTCCAGACACTCCCCACTCTCCCCTATACCTATATTTATTTATGACCACATTAACACATTCTTTGAAATAATCCACTTATTTATTTTGGTCAAAATAGATTTTTCTAACCTTAAAATACAAAATTAGATGATATTTTTTGTTCCGGATTTAAAGTTCTAACCCACCTTTGATACAGATATTCTTATTTCATAATAGAGAAGTTAGATTTTTTTTAATAAATGCTGTTTAGTTAAAACTATTTGATGGAGAAATGTAGACCCAATGCACAAAAATATCACTTATATTGCACCTTACACTTTGGAATTTCATTAAATGCAGTATTTATATTCCTAAATTATTAAACCAACCATTGTTATTGTGATACTTTAAAGATTTATTAACTTTTAACGCCTAAACATAAGTGGTAACACTATAAATATTATTTCTTTCGTTGACTATACTTTGACAGATACATAACCTGAAAAGCCTTAAATGCCAAATTTTCAAAAGACTGCGTTCCGTACGTGGTCACGTGGTGGGACTTTGAGGTGTGGAGCATAGTACATTATTTTGGATACTTATAATTTTAAATTTGTGATTCATTAGATTACCTCAGCAATGCTTCCGTCATCTTGTCCTCGATATACGTCCTCGCTCTGACATCTTCATCGTTTTCGACCTCCTCGCACTTGAGGGGAAGATGCGAGGTCCGCTTGCACGAGCGGCAGGACTCCTCCAAGCAGTCGGGGTTCAGGCAGCGGAACACTTTGTCCGCCTCGTGGGGAACGGCGCCGAACTCGCAGAACGGGCACACCTAGTGATGTAGATAGGGTAAATACCCAGTGGGTAGGTAAATAAAATTTGGGTAAATACCTGGGCAAATACCCAAATTTTATTTACCTACCCAAAACTGGGTATTTTTGATAAATGCGTTATTATTTATACTTTAAATGATATTAAACTTCCCTATTAAACCATATAAACATAAACGTACTAGAATTGGACGGCTTTCTGCAGAATGGGACCAACCCACACCATGATGAAACTGAGAAAAAAGCTATCAAAGATTTTAATAATTTTAAAATTACCTGTTAATTTTATGCCGATTTTGGACTTACGGAGGTTTAAGGGATATAATTTAATAATTTCATCAGGTGGATTTTGTGATGTTATGTGTAAGGGTGACGAAAAAAATGGGCTTTTGTTGGTTGGTTCCTTTCTGCAATTTATGAAAACTACTATCTGATGTACGTATGTATTTAAAGAAAAGCGACAATTATTTATTTCCAAACAAAATACAACTGATATTACTATTATAATGGTAATATGAATTAATTTTGATTCTATTTGAAATTCGTCCACATCATCTTCCAACCCCACCTCATCTTGTAAGCTACCAAAAAAATGCATCAAGACTTTATATTTTGCAGAAGCAGGAAATCTTTAAAGACTTTGGTAGTGGGTCTACCAGCCTGCTTTTTTACAGAAAAGATCCAACCCACTTGCAGATTATCTACAGATTCTAATTCTGGATTAGTAATCCACACTATTATTGAATGTTGGTTGGTTCAATGATTAATAGATTTCACTACACTTGCATTTTGCAGATAAATTATACATACTTAATTAGTTCTTAGGCTAAATATCTCGATTTTTTTGGTTTTGTGGGTTGGTTCCTTTCTGCAGAAAGGCGTCCAATTGTCTCTGAACGCACTTAATCGTGGAAAACCGCTTAATTGTTGAAATGCACACATAGACCAGGGTCGATAATTTTTGAAACCAAAAAAAATAACAGTAGGATGAAACCCATTGGAAAAGGAGAAGAATATAATAAAAATGAAAGGAAAAATAAATTACGGGCGATCTGACTTCGGGAAGTGGGAGGGGGGGTTTTAAGGGTAAAAAATGGTTTATCTCGATTTCCGGCAAAACTACAAGTCCTATGGAAAAAATTTGATAAATATTTAAAAAAAAAACATTGGCATTATAGATAAAACTAAGTTTTAAATAATATTATCTAAGAAGATCTAAGGTAGGTAGGGGAAGGTGGGGGAATTCTGCGCATCTAAGCAAAATCTCTAGTATCTTTGTTAAGTTTAAATGTGAAATTTTGCAATTAATACCAGCGATAGTCTACTATGTTTACTATGTGTATATAATGCGCAATTTATAAAAAAAAATGTTTGGTATGCAAAAACTACATTTTTTTAAATAATGCATTTGCGCAAAATTACCCACCTATCAGGGTAATTTTGCGCATCATAGTGGGAAAATTTGCGCTGTAAAGAGAAAAATTTGTAGGTATCTAAATAAACCGTTTATTTCTATAATATTATTATAATAAAACATAAAAATAAAACAAAACTATTTTCTCTATGAAACAAACAAAACAAAGAAAATAAAAAATAAATAACTAAAAATAAAATTTTTTTCTTAGAAATAAGAGGGTCTACATGCAGCATTTGTCACATATGTAGTTTTAGGGTTTTTTTTCGCTACACTCCGCGTGTGCCCAAATGGAACTGTTCATGCTGAACAATCTAGGCTCCTGTATACCAAAGCTCCCATATTGGCCAAATTTTGCAGCGCAAAATTACCCCAATTTTTCAGCGTAAAATTACCCCCATTGCAAGAAAAATATTGTGATACTAAAAAACTTTCCAAAAGTTAACCTGAACAATTTAAACATACACCAGATTACGAGGAAAGATCATATAAAGTTGTGTTATAAACATTTAAGCGATTGGACAGAAATTTAAACTTAACTCGTAGCGGAAACGAAATGGATTTCTTAGATCAAAGTACATGTATCACAGTTAGCTAGTGACCATGGTCACTAGCTAAAAGCTACAAGCTTAATTGCGGTACACTTTAGTCCCTGTATACCCAAAGCAACGTTTCCAAATTTGCAACATTCAAAAAATGTATTATTTACTTCATATCTGGAAGAATTGTTTATGCGTAAAATTACCCACCGCGCAAAATTCCCCCACCTTCCCCTACTACTACAGTATACTTCACTATATTGAATAAAACTATTTATTGATTTCAAGCTATTTTTATGAAAGATTTAAATCGAAATACCCCTATAAATACCCTATTTGGGTAAATACCCTATTTGGGTAAATACCCGGGTATATACCTGGATATTTTACATCACTAGGCATACCTCCAGATCCGCCATCCCGGCGGCCTCGACCTCGGCCGCGGCCTTCTTGCGCGCCAGACTCGAGAACGTCTTCGAAGGCAGACAGGTCTGCAGGGTGCGCAGGCCGAAGCGGGCGCCGCAGTCGGCCAGGCAGGGAAGCTCGAGCTTGCCCTCGCCCAGCGCCACCTCGCAGCTCGTTTTCACGCACTCGCGGCAAAAGTTGCAGCCGGCCGAGCACTCGAACGAATCCTTCGGCATGACTCGCTCGTCGTAGCAGCAGCTGCACGAGCGCATCAGGCCCTTGAGTGTGGCGTCGGCGCGTTCCTGCTCCTCTTCCAGCTTCTTTTTCTCGAGATATTCCACGATTTCCTCCCTAATTTACAAGATTTAATTTAATCTTTTTCAATTTGACGCACCCTCATCGGTTAATAATTAAATATCCCAGTTGCAAATGACCGATTACCCTGATAGCACACTTTATTCTAAGAATGTTTTTTAAACCTTCCAGTGAGAATATTCTTAGGATCATGCTATATTTCTTCTAAAAAACATGCTTAAAAGACATATAGCATGATCCTAAGAATATTCTCACTGGCCTATAGGCAGGTTCTTAGAAGGTGCAAAGTTTAGTGGTAAAAGTTAATCCACTCTAAACATATGCTTAGAATGCTGAGAAAGTAATTTGCTATAGAAAGTTCATTTAGGAATATTCCTGGAACATTCTGTTAAGCATATTCAGTTCAGTTAGGTACCTATATAATAGTAAAATGTACCATAATCTACGTATAAAGGTACCTATACTTAGTATTAAATACTAAGTAAAAAACACAACCCAAAATATTTTTTTATAGTTATTTGTCAAATTAAAACAATATTCGATAACAAAAATGCTTTTACATAAAATCTTCTATTCAACTTAAATACAATGAAAAATGTTTTTTTTTTATGAAGAACTTTTTGGTTTTTTCTTTTATAAAGAATTATTTTATAAGGAAATATTTTGCTTTTTTTATATTTTATTTTATGTTAAAAATAAATATTTATTAATTTGTATACCGACTTTTTATTTCTGAATTAACATTTTTATGTATAATAATCCTAACTATCTTCAACTTCAATCTAATCTGACTTATTCCACAAAATTTTCCAATTTTACTTTTTATGAAATAATGTCATACAACTTTAGGTTTAGAGGTCAAATTTTTATTTAATATTTTTAAATAAATATATATTAATATGTCGGGGAAGACAAATATATTTCACTGTCATATTATGACATTGAGGCGTATTTGTCGCCTCCTGAAGAATTTTACGTGTAGAATCCAACATATTAGAACGTGGGTATCTGACATATTTGGAAATATTCTCAAAAGCTTCCTAGAAGCTCCATTAGAAACCTTCTAAGAACATTCCAAAAACGTATTCTAAAAATGTTCTTAGAATGTTTTTAGGAAGATTTTAAGAAGCTTCTAAGAATCTAATTGCATCATTAAAAGGGTATCTATTAAATGTTTTAAAAGTCCCTAAGAACATTCTTAGCAATAAGGAAAGGTTCTAAGAATATTCCATTATTCCGGGTCATATCTTCTTAGAAGATTCTTAGAATCAAATTTTGCTATCAGGGCACGCATTCGCGGCAAAAGTTGCAGCCGGCCGCGCACTCGAACGAATCCTTCGGCAAGACTCGCTCGTCGTAGCAGCAGCTGCACGAGCGTATCAGGCCCTTGAGTGTGGCGTCGGCGCGTTCCCGCTCCTCTTCCAGCTTCTTTTTCTCGAGGTATTCGGCGATTTCCTCCCTAATTTACAAGATTTAATTTAATCTTTTTCAATTTGACGCACCCTCATCGGTTAATAATTAAATATCCCTGTTGCAAATGACCGATTACCCTGATAGCACACTTTATTCTAAGAATGTTTTTTTAAACCTTCCAGTGAGAATATTCTTAGGATCATGCTATATTTCTTCTAAAAAACATCCTTAAAAGACATATAGCATGATCCTAAGAATATTCTCACTGGCCTATAGGCAGGTTCAAAGTTTAGTGGTAAAAGTTAATCCACTCTAAACATATGCTTAGAATGTTGAAAAAGTAATTGCTATAGAAAGTTAATTTAGGAATATTCCTGGAACATTCTGTTAAGCATATTCAGTTCAGTTAGGTACCTATATAATAGTAAAATATACCATAATCTACGTATAAAGGTACCTATACTTAGTATTAAATACTAAGTAAAAAACAAAACCCAAAATATTTTTTATAGTTATTTGTCAAATTAAAACAATATTCGATAACAAAAATACTTTTACTATACACGGTGCTCGGGAAGCAGCTTTAAATGAAAAGATAAGTTTCATGTTTTTTTTTTTGTTTTTATGTATTTATTGCAACAATAGAAGTAATTTTTTGGTATTTTTAGGATCGCTTAACATGGCCGTTTTTAAGAAAATATTGAATTTATAAAAATTAATTGGATTTTTCGAAACATCAATTTATATTGTAATAAACTGTCGTAAAAGCAATATGAAAGTGTATACGTACGTTTTTTAACAACTAAAGTATCAAACACATTTTAAACTTACATACATATATACATTAATTCGTGTCCTTCATCACTGCTGCTTGTACTTTCCACAATCCACACAATAATGTGTGGATTGTGGTAGTTTCAAGTAATATTTTATAAATAAATATTGAAATAATTAGTCCTAGGTATTCACCAAATACCATTATATCCTTCACTTTATTTGACAGGTATTTTTTATGTTTAAATGTTTGTTTACGTGTTTTACTGGAGCCACAGCACCTCTCTGTCACCTGTTGTTTCAGTAAAATTAATCTGCCGTATATTTATAAAAGGGAAGTATTTACCTCAGTAACAAAGTGGATTTCGGAATGTATTTTCAGTACTGAGTCAGTACTACTGACAGTACTGACAGTAAATTACGGAACACAACCTTAATAAGACTTTTAGTAGAGAAATGATAGGTACCTATGGCGATAAAAGTAAATATCCGGAATAATTCAGAGAGGTTGTATTTGCAGAGGTTGTATTTGCAAATCGCAGACCGCAAAATCACATTCCCTGCACATGTCAGGAATATTCCCAGGAATATTCCAATCGTCCCAGAATATTCCTGGGAATATTCCTGGCATAATCAAATGTCCGCTTTTTGGTTAACCCAGGCATCATAAAAAGAATATTCCATATATCTGCCTGCAGAAGACTCAAGGATTGTTAGGGGAATATTCCTTGATATAATTTGGGGATTATTCCCAGCCCTTATTGCCTCTTATACCCAGGAACTTAACTTAAGTATAGCCATTATTGAGTTACTAAGTAGATCGGTCCCACTCTAATCATTGTTTGGCTGTGCCATCGCACATCAACTAATATTATTAACCTATCGGTATATATAGTTATCAAGCGTGCGTAAGCAACGGTGAGAGGTATTGCAACTAAACTAATGAATATTCACTGGGAATGTTCTTAGATGATGCTTGGAAGTTTTAGAGGATCATTCTAGGAATATTCCCAATGATTATTCCCAGAATGAAGCGGATTATTCCTAGGCGATAGGGAATATTCCTGGAATATTTTCGAACCTTCATTGCAGTCTGGGTGGTTATTGTAAAATAAATAAAAAGGTATTTATTAACATTTTTGCTGTTGTTATAAGCCAAGTTTATTGCATAATTACATGTACCAATAATAACATATATATGTTATGTAAGGTGTAATAATTATAACAATTATAATTTTTTACATACGATGCGCTTGACTTTTTAAGTTATTTTTGGTTTTAAATTAATTGCTTGAATGAAACCCATATAAAAATAAATTATTAAACGTAATAATAAATGAATTTTTATAAAAATTCAGTCTTCAACATTTGCGTTGGATTTGCGTTGAATTTGCGTTCGTTTTGAGTCGATTTTGATTTTTTATTAATTGTCGGTAAAACAATAATGAATTAGATTTTTTTAAGTTATTTTTAGTTTTAAATTAATTGCTTGAATCAAACACTTATAAAAATAAATTATTAAACGTGATAATAAATAAATTTTTATAAAAATTCAGTCTTCAACATTTGCGTTGGATTTGCGTTGAATTTGCGTTAGTTTTGAGTCGATTTTGATTTTTTATTAAAAGTCGGTAAAACAATAATATATTAGATTTTTTAAGTTATTTTTGGTTTTAAATTAATTGCTTGAAACAAACCCATAAAAAAATAAATTATTAAACGTGATAATAAATGAATTTTTATAAAAATTCAGTCTTCAACATTTGCGTTGGATTTGCGTTGAATTTGCGTTCGTTTTGAGTCGATTTTGATTTTTTATTAATTGTCGGTAAAACAATAATGAATTAGATTTTTTAAGTTATTTTTAGTTTTAAATTAATTGCTTGAATCAAACACATATAAAAATAAATTATTAAACGTGATAATAAATAAATTTTTATAAAAATTCAGTCTTCAACATTTGCGTTGGATTTGCGTTGAATTTGCGTTCGTTTTGAGTCGATTTTGATTTTTTATTAAAAGTCGGTAAAACAATAATATATTAGATTTTTTAAGTTATTTTTGGTTTTAAAAACTATGCTTAATTTCTGTTTCAATTACGAAACATGTTTGGTTTATTAAGCACATACATAATTAATAACTCACAATTTTTATTTAAAAAAATTAAATAAAATGGTTTTATAAAACAGGTAATCGCAAACTTTATAAAACTCCTTTATAAACCTACTGGTAACGGTTACTAAAGGTTATATAAGAAACAATTATATAAACTAATTATATACCTATAGTTTACAGTAACCTTATATGACCATTATAATACTAGTAAACTAAATGGCGATTATATAAAACATTGTTAAACTCTTATATACAACTCATATATAACCTTTATATAATTATATAAAGGTAAATTATAATTTATCGTTACCATAAATTATAATTTATCGTTACCATAAGTAGTTCAAATTGTTTATTGGGCTTTTTAATCTGACTTGAGTAGTGTGTTGTTACTTTTATAATTGGGTCACAAATTAGTATAATTATGCCAAAAATGATTATAATATAAATTTGTAAAAAACAAATGTATTAAATATATTATAGTCAAATTTTGGTTATTACTTTTGCCTTTATAAATCCAAATAAAACATAACATAACCGCCTGAGCTCCAACTCAAAGTATATTTCGTGATATGGGTGATTCTACAAAAGTTGGGCAACTTTTGACCTCACTTTGTTTATATAGTTTTCGGAGAAAATTAAACAGTATTTTGTTATGAGAACATAGATAATATAATAAATATACTGTTTCAGACCGAGCCAGTCACTTTTTTAAACAGTTTCTGAAATATCTG